TAAATTGCTAAAATTGGGTATTGTTCCGGGGTAAGGGGACTGGGTATAGCGTTGCGGGTTATTGGAGGTCCGCCAAATACGTTACCGTATACGTTTGAGGAGAAAGCGTTGGTTTTCAAATTTTTCACATGGTTTAATAGAGTTCGAGCCAAAAAACGCTCGAATTGGTACATTACTTTGTGTCTTCTTTCTCGCTGCCTCTCACCCTCTCTTACGCTCTGACCCTCTCGCTTTCTCTCTCTCGCTCTCTTTCTCGCTCTCTCACTTATCTCAATAGATCCCGTACTTTTTCTACCATCCGTCCATCCCTTTCCCATACCTTTAATCCTTACGCCATACCTAAAAAGCAGGCTTTTGTAACTCCTTTTGATAAGACGCAGCCCCGCAATTAGCCGGCATCCGAATAAGGATTTCCGGGATGCCCGTAAGTGAAAGAAAACCATTGCCTTCCTCAGATTTCAGAAGAACACCACCCAAATTGTTACCCTCCCCTAGGACCCTGCGCACAATTTACTTTTTTGTTTCCGCTAGACTGTCGCTACGGCAGTTCCTTTCCACCTGATCGTTATTCCAGTCCAACTATGTAGATGCAAAGTCTTCCCCCCCACCTACCCACGCGGGATTAGCGGCTTCATCTCCCGTGTGCACCCTCTCGCACCGGAAGATCAAGGGGGTTAATGAAATGCCCTTCATCTAGTCGACCGTGCCAAATTCCGAAATGGGGGAAAGAAGTTCCATTGTAATTTGCGGGCAAGAATTTAGCGGAGAAGCTGCGTGAAATGTCAGCGGCATTGGGTTTTTGCGTTCGGGGGTGTACGTGCTTGATAGATGGCAAATTATTTCCGTGTCTGGGCGTAGGTGCGGTTCGCTTGTTCCGTCAATTTTGAACATCCTTGATACAGGAGAGCTACAACCACAGCATCGGAGATTTTTAACCCCGTTCTGCACCATGGTTTGTCGCAAATCCTGCTGACATGGAATAAGAACAAGCACTCTATTGCCCCTTTATCGAAGCCGCTTTCACTTCCGGTCTATTCAAATTTTATTTTAAGTGCAATTCATAAAAATATTGATTTATATTGCCGAAATATTCATAAAAACTGCAATTTCGTGTCGAAAATAGCATTTTTAAAATTCTATGGCATTTTTTATATAGAGTCGGGGCAGTGATCTGAAATTGCAAAAATACGCCAGCTCCTCCCTTAATATTTTTATAAGGAGTACCATCAGTAAGTTGAGCGTGCCGAAACACACCATCTACTCCCGTTAATACAGTTTTGTATAGAGTAGGATCATTTTTTCGGAATTTCGAAAAACACGCTAACCCCTAAAATTCTTTAGCGAGTTATGATTTAGACAAAAACGCGTCACTTCCTTTCCCTTTGAAATTTTATATAGCTCCGAATTGAGAAGTTTATAGTAAACTTTTCCCTTAAAACCTTTTTGTATAACGTATTCAGTGTGTAGGTCGGTGAACCAAGAATCCCTGGTCGTGCGCGCGCTTCATGTTTAAGGGGTCGTTGTCTATGTGCGGCTCCTTTTTACTGGCCCATCCGCCCTATGGGTTGAGGGGCTTGAAGGAGTAAGGGGTGGATGGAGATTCCTCCTCTCCCGACTTCTCATGCCCCGATTCTCCGCGTCCAGGCCTCGGGAAATGCTGTTAGGTAGCCCAGGGAAGGGGGGGGGAGACCTCCTCCTTCGGGATCTTCCTCAAAACCCAACATATCCTTGCTCGGTCGGCCCCCTCCTCATCCACCAAGACGGACACCTCGTCACCCCGCACACCCTCACACTCAACTCGTCTTTTCGTGTGGCCCGGGCCGCTAGTCAGGGGTTGTGTGGTATTTTCGGATCTGACGACCCCGAACACGGCATTCGCCTTCTGCCACACATTCAAAAATATCTGCAAGCTCAAGATGGCCATTTGGGCGGTGGGGGTGGTTTTTTGGTGGCAGTATCTCTCTGGACTCCTTCATTTGCAAGTGTGATCTTTGGAGGGTATATTTTATTAATGAAATTGTTTAGATCTTAATTTGTGTCCTAGCTAATACGATTGCCATGCCGGTTATTTAATAATACGTTTCGCGCGTAGTATATAACGAATTAATTAATATGATTCAATAGAATAGTTGTCTAGGACTGTTACACTACGACTCCTGACCACTAAACTATACTACCGTATTCTCCTTAAAGAGAATTTTCCATGTAACAGGTCGTATTCAATTAATTATGCAAATTACGCGTAAGTGTTAATTAGAATGTACAACCTCCCTTAGGTGAACCTCTCTTTAATTTGCCGATTTTTCATTTAAGAAATCTACTACTCCGGCTGCCTTTGAACCTCACAAAAACGTCAAGAACTTCTATTTTAGACATCCAGACCAACTAGTTAGCCCGATTGGCTGTGTCACTGGAATTGGAAAGTGTTTTAGGACAGCCCCGATGAGTCCGTGGCCATTACTTGGCTCTGTCCGACCCAAGCTTGCCTCGTCCTCCGGCTCAGCCTCGAGTCCATCCATGGCGACTGTGTGGCCACTTCGGCATAAAAACTCTCCCCTCCCAACGAAAAAGGCCTCTCCTTCTCATGCCCTTCCCCATCGCGGGTCCCCCCAAGCACTAAGCGTCCGAAATCTCAGCTCCACGGCTCGGATCCCTAAATATACCCCTAGGAAAAGGGGGTTCGGAAGAATCAGTTCCTGCATGGCCGTTCGTGAGCGTCGTTGGGGTTGAGCCAAGAGTTTAGCATCGGCTGTGAGCTTAAATATTCTCGTATCTTTAGAAATTTTGCGCCCTATTTTGCTGTCCTCTAAAATTTTGATGTGATCTTTTAGTTACCAAAAATTGATTATTTCTAAAAACATCATGATCTTTTTAAAGGTCCGTACTCGAATTTTTTTAGTCACGTCTCATTTAAATTTGTTAGGCTTTTTAGAAACCGCCCTAGTTACATGAAAGCAAATTGTAAATTTCGAAAGATGATTGAAATAAGAAAAATATGTCCATAGATCAACTTTCCAATTTTTTGACGAGAGTTGAATTCACCTCCCCGTTTCCCGATCCTCCAATATTTCCCCCAAAATACAATGTCTCGCCCTGCTATTAGTCTACAGCAAACCACCAATTGTCCACTCTTTTTCATTGAAATTACTCCCCCTATAGCGTCGCGAAAAATCTAGACCCCTGTAACTTCCATCTTCGAAATTTTTAAGACTACGCGACTTTCCTCTGAACATCTTGACTCATGGTGCAAAACGTGGGCGGGCTCGGATTGCAAGGTTGCCGATAATTTGGCGCATTTACCGAAGGATCCCCCGGCTGCTAAAGGGCCTCACCCCTCTTTTTTTTCCGGTCGTTTCCCTTCTCCTTCTCCGCTTCAAAGACACTCCACAGCCCGGGACCTCGTGAATTAGGGATGGCGATCAATGCCAGAGAAACCTATGTTCCGAATTCCCAGATGAATTACTGGATGAAGTGTGGGGCCGGGGGGTGTGAGTATCAACTCGTTGAACCTCTTATTTTTGGCATAGAGGGCGTTTTTGGTTGTGGGTAGTTCCGGGGGTCAGCTGAGGTATTGACGTCGTTAGTACATTTAGGTACAGGTTAAGAGTACCTGTCCTTTTTAAGGGGACCAGAAATTTCAATGACAACATGGCAGTTAGCATGTAATTGACCCAAATTTTCGAATTAGGTTAAATCGGTTATGCTCCGTTTTTCAAGCGTTTCCGGTTGGCTTTTTGCCAATTTTTGATGCTATCTGATCTGCGGCCCTTCCTGGTCCCACTAATACCATACCCACTTAGCTAATTTTCAAGATCTCCGTATTTTCTGCCCCACATTTTTGAATCGGTTTCTTTTCATACGTCCCCATACCCATTCCACTACAATTTTTTGAAGCAATGAACTTTACGCACTCAACACCAACAAAAAACACCACACCTTACCGCCATTCTACCTGGCAATAACAAAGTTAGAATCCACTCTTTGAAAGCGAATTTGAATTCCCATAGATGCTTAGAAAAAAGGGCTTTTCAAGTTAGTTTACGGTACAAATAGTCAGCTCGACCATCACACAGTTTTTACGACTTCATCCCTAATTTATCCCAGATGTTCTGAGAGCTAACATGAACCTACATAAAAAGCAAATAAGTCGAGTTCGGGGTGGGGGTAAGCCCTTGGGGATATCCTATCAAATTCGTGTCTTTCTTAAAAAATGAGTTGAGTGGCATTTTGTGAATGAAAACTCTCTATTTCACTTTCTGCTAACACTTCCCCTTTTTTTCTATATTCAGCTGTCAATGATCAGCCCTAATTTCTTCTTACTACCGAAAATTGGGGTAAAGTGCTCAAAAATCGTCAGCACGCGCACCTGCAGGCAATCTCATTAAATAAGTGGCAACACCCCCAATGGCCTCCCGTTGGCTGCTCGGTCACTTAATCAGCATTTTTCTCGGCTTCTTCGGTGAACATGGCCGGTATCAAAGAGCGCCATTTATGGCTCTGTGCTTCCTGTTGCCGTTATTAGGCCCGGACCACGTGTAAATTCCTATCCAATGATTCTGCTCCTGAAAATAGGTGGCCAATAACCGCAAGGGATTGTTTTTGAGGCCTTTTGCATTGGGTTTATATGAAGTGGTCCCCTTCGGAGTAGTATTTGGTTCCAGTGAATGCCTAGAAATAGGGAAATAGCTACTACCCCCACGGACAATTTCCGTTTCCCCCCTGGAGGGCACTAATTGGCCCATCGGCCAGCTCTCTCTGTGTGCTACCTTTTGATGAATGTGTAATGAGCGTTATGAACTGCCATGGCTACAGGACCATGCCCCGCATAATTCGATCACTTTTTTCCCTTTTCCTTTGTCAAGACCCAGTCGGAGTGACCCGTTTCTTGTGCGTCGACTCGGGGCTTTCGAAATCAGGCCTGGAATAATAGGTTTTGCTTGCAGGGTTGGCATGAGGATGGTGTAGTCATTGAGAAGAAGTGAAAACAGGATTTGACCAAGATGTCGCTGTGGTCCGATGAATTTATCGTCGGCGTCTCCTATGTCGGGATCGGGCTCGTCGGGTTTATTTGTAACCTAGCTACAGGTATTTTACATTTATATAGATACCAAATTACACTCAAAATTTGTCTGTAAAGATATTTAAAATACATTATAAGTACAAAAAACGTTATTTTTAGTGGTAATGATCGGCACGAATCGTGTCTATCGACTATCCGCCTATACCATTATGGCCAACATCGCCCTGGCCGATAGTATAATGATGCTAATAGCAGGTTGGTGAAAAATTAATGATTGAATCAATAAAATAACAAAAACATAAATAATTATCAATTTTAGGTGTTGCCTGTGGTTGCGCGCTGATATGGCCGGAAAACGAGCAGCTGGCCCCAACTCTAATTCCGCATGCAAATTACACAAATGCTACGGTATTCTTAGAAACTAGGAAAAATAAAGAAATTTTTTAGTTGATAACATCACCATTCCAACGGGAAACCATTCGAACGTTGCTTTCTTTATGTGAGATTGCAGCTTGGAGCGCAGGAGTGATTAGCTATGCATTACTAGGTATTTTAATAATATCAATCAAATTAAGTTTTGGTTACTTGAAAAAAATAGGTTTTATAAAGCATAATTTACAATTTTTCAGGTATGAACCGTTGCATTGCCATCTGCTACTACGGCACGAAAGCCCGGATCTTGAATCGAGTTTCCGTGGCCATCATCGCCTCCATCTTCACCTGGGTCCTTGGCGGTTCTATCGGTATTTTTCGATTAGTTTTATGACCCAATCCACATGTAGCAATCCTCGGCAGCATGCCCGAACCCCTAATGGGGATCCGTCGCGAAATGTGGTCGTTCAGCTTCACCCAGCTCCATGGCGATCGAGCCCGTAAGTTTTCCATTGAAATCTCCCCGAAAACACCATGGTCCCCAAATTTCAGACTCACTCGCGGATGGTAGGTGCCCTCGAATCCCCCTATCTTTTTCTCTGCCGGAAAAGAGAGATTATTGGAACGAAAAAAAGGCATGCCCCACCCCATCAATACACCCGATTTGTTCAATGAGTTCAGCACCGCAAAGCCAAGCTGCAAGGCGTTGCATGGTGGAATGAAAGATGCATTCGAAAGGCTTAAATAGCATGGGAAATTATTCTTTATGTATGGGGGCGATATATTGGGCCGAAATATAAGCAAACTAAATTTCGGAAACACCTGCCATTATTTAATTTTTGCGATTTCGCAAAAACAGCTCGGCTGTTTTGGAATTAGCTTATTTTTTAAGTAACAATTTGGCTAACCTTTTTCTTTGGCTGAACAAAACGCTATTTTGCCGAGCATTTTAGCGTTAAAAACCCTATATTACTTGTTTTGCGTTTTATCGATTTTTCTTAAGTTTTAGGGCTCATAAGTAAGGTCGTGCAACTGATCCCCTGAAAGCTCCCCCAACACGGCCAAAAATATCTTACCCTGATGGATGATGAAAGCCAGTGAGGCGCAAACCAAAAAGCCGCTTTTGCAGAGCTCTTCCTTCTCCTCATGCTCGCCATCAACGGAGCGGGCGTGGGAGCGCAGTGGGTGTGCTCGTCGTTGGTGATGCTCCGCATCAGACGCGTCAAGCAGAAGATCTCGCGCAATAAGATCAACCAGAATAGCGCGAATCGCTTCAAGAAACAGGTTTGTGGTTGCGGAGGCTGGAATGGGGATAAAGAAAAAGTGTTGCAAATCAAGTACCAGTCAAAAATTTGTTATTGTATTTTCGGCAGCATAGCCATCATTTTATCAAGATTAACTTAAAGCTATCAAAAATTCTACTTCTAGAGTTTTTCACGGCGCTCCTGACTTATTTTTTGATAGTTTGATCGCGGAAAATAGATATAATTGCTTAAAATAAAAAAAAATAAGCTCTTCTCTTAGTTATAGAAATAGAAAGGCAAGTTATAGAACAAAAATAAGCTCTGAAGTTATATCAAGGGAAATGCGGCAATGCACCAATTAAATTACATTTTTTCAGGCGAGACTAACCTTCCAATTCTTCTACCCATCACTCCTCTGCACCATCGCTTCTCTCGTCTATTTCTGCAAACCATACATCGTTGACAAGTTGTGGCCCTGGCAATTGGTCGCCTTACATTTGGTAACAACATCCAAAATTCTGTTTCTAACCTTAAAAATTTAGATCTGGCTTTGCAATCACGCCTGCAATCCATTCATCTATGCGTACTTCAATGATCGGATGAGGTTGACATATAGGTAAATTCTTAAGACCAATAATATAGCTTTTACCAGCGATAGCTCCTAAAATAATGGGTGCAAGATCCAAATTCACCTCGGAAAATGACGAAAGCAACCCGACGAAAATATACCCTTTAATCAGCCTGGATTAGGGTACAAAAGACCACCCAGTTCAACCACCATTCTCACTAATCCCCCTAAAAAATCGGAACTTTCTGCATCCTTGGCTCCGTCACATTTTTTTCGCTAAAAGCAGCCGTCTAATCGCGCTTTTCCAGAGAAATGATGACCTGTGCACAACTACGGTATCACTTGCGAAAGAAACGGATAAGCCGTGGCTTCCGCCATAACCCAAGGCATAATGTGTCCAGGTAAACAAGCGGCAAGGATGCTGTATTGCCAAAGTTTAGGCGTTCAAACGCACCTAAATCGACCAGAATGTCCGCTCGTTCTGGGAGAAGTCGTGATGGGAACTTTGTGCGAAACAGCTTACAGGTATCAAATCGATACTTAGATTAACGAGATTCTTAGCTTCAATCCCGTGATTTCGAGCAGCTTTGCGAGTTTATAATGAGGGTCAATCCACTCTACGATTCATCTGAGGGCTGGCGCGAAAGCAGCGACGACGATGATTTTGCCCCGGAGGTAAATTCTCTTTTAAGGTTTTTAAACCCGAAATTGCCAGCTGATTCTCAAGAACCGCAGGGCTCGTTAGGAGCGTGAGTTTATTCATTTTAAGGGTATCCCGGCGTCCCTTTGCTTTTCCCCTTGCTTCCACCGGATGTCAGTAAAATCTGCCGCTAATTTTCGCGTACTCGAATTCACTCACAACGCTTAACATCCCTATATGTGTGAAGGATGAAGCTATTTTTATAAATGGTGTTTTTAGATAACAAAACCGCCAGAGTCGATGAATGGGGATAGTATTGAGAATGTATCAACACGGGAGACGAGATCGATTGTATTGGGGCTCGGCAGGCAGACCGTTGAGCACTGGGTGCGGTTCGCCAAAAAAGCCTCTATTTAATGAATTTATTTAATGAATAATGCTATTTGTAAATTGATTGTATAATCCAAACCCATCTTTTCCTAAAAACTCTATGATTTCCTATGCCCGAACGTTGTCCAAACTGTGACCGATAACTGCATGCCGGTGTGCTTTGAACGAACCAACATATTAACTAACTTTTCCCCTATTTTCATTTCCACTTTGTTTAACAGATATTTTTGGCTTCCGCCGGCCAGATTCTCGTTGGGTCCCCCCATTCTGGCTATCCCATAATTTGTTCTAGTGTGTGAGCATAAGTGCCGGGTTCCCCGTTTTTCCCCTACCCCACCCCGCACACACTGACGATCTCTTCATGGTTCTTCAAATCGATTTCTGATTTTATTTATTTGTTTATTTCCGGAAACACATCAAATGGGTAAAAATAAATAATTCGAAAAACAGTTGGGGGCTGAGAGTGAAGCACTGAGTGAAAGCTTGGACCCGTGGAGCTATGCTGCGGTGATAGGAGAGAATGAAATATAGATGTATAGCCAATCATTGACGCTTAACGTTGAAAACAGTTAGATTTTTGATAACGAAAAAAGTTTTTCAGAAGATTGATAGTATCTAGAGGTAAGTCAATCTTCTCCAACGGACAAATGATTTGTGGAAGTTTTGCGATGAGGAGACGGGACCTAGAAAAATGAGATTTAAAGGTGTTGTTCTTCGGAGGGTACCTCGAGCATGGGGCCACTCGGTGGTCGGGTGGGTTGTATGACGATTGATTGTTCGGGTGCTGCTATCGATGTTGGTTCGATTACTTTAAAAGAATTAAATTATAAATACTGTTGATATGCAACTCAATTTATGTCGTAAATTCTGAAAAGTCATTTCAAACCGGACGATATAAAATCTAAGAAGGACATTTGAAGGCACACGGACGGCATAGATTTTTGGCAAATAGCCAACGCGGAGAGAGGGCGCCTCGGCGAGAAATGCAGAGACACCCTTTTTCCCCGCGTAACCGATCGACTTATGCTCTCCTCTCCCTTTAAAGTTAATAAAATCCAAAATTAAAAAAGTTACTAGACTTAAATTAAATATATGATTCAAAATTTAAAACATTTGAAACCAACCATGAATTTTCACATCCGATTCAGCATCCAGCATCATCCGTAAACAGGACCCGCATGCGCCCATCGAATGTGTTCTCGACCAGCCACGCAATTTCGACCTGCAATTGTACCCAATTACAATTTTCATCCCGAAAAGCACCATCAAAAAACAACCAAATGAAAGCCGAAAATCGAAACCCAGACACCCGCCGTCAAAAAACAAGAAACGCAGTTTGCGCGCCCGAGAAGGCGCAAACGAAGGGCCACTTCGCATAATCCCCTCACCCGCTTCAGAACACCCGCCTATTCGCGACGACGCGACGCTCCGACAAATTACGTGATAAAAAATTAGGGACATTCGTTGTCTCGTAGCTCAGTTTTTAACGCGAGATGCGGCTCTCTTGCTGAGATGCTGCCAAAAATGGATTTTGAAAAACACAGGCAGGAGGGGGTTGTTATGAAGCCAAACCAAACTAGCGACCCACCCCCACCATTCACACTTCCGGTCGAACAAATCCAAATCGGAAGGTATTAGGCATTCAAATCGACCATTGGGGTGGGGGTGGTACGGGATTATCGTAGTTCCACTATTAAGAAACAAGCAATACGTCCAGAACCAGAATAAATAAGGAATAACCGTAAAAAATTTGTTTGTCAAATTCTGCCGAAATGAGGAATTCACCAGAAAATAGAGTGCTCCACGCCCACGTATGGAAAACAAAAATTGCCCTTTAGAGTAGAAAGAAGGCAGGAAATACGCAGATCCAGGCGAAAGGCACCGAGATTGGCGCAGCACCCACGTCTTGCTCCAACCAGTACCACCGATAGAATGCGTCTAGCGGCAGCAGGTGAAACCGGAAGGCTTAGATTTCCTTCAATCATTTTAAGAGCCGTCAGTCAACAATACGGCATTATTCGAGAAGGGAATACACGATTTACGTTAGAATTTACATAAAATATTTCAACAAATCATGAAAAGGTATTTTAAGGCCGGCAAGGGCCAAACAATGAAACTAGTGATTGTAAACCCCTGAAAACCAGCCGTCTAGAATCTCGCAAATTGATGAGCGATTTTCGTAACGTCGTAATTGGCTCGGCCACCGAACAAAACCATGGTTTACAGCTTTTAAAACAAAAGGTTCTATGAATTCACAAAACAAGATTAATATCAAAAACAAAAAACATCTGGAGTTGGCCTTGAATGGGAAAACGCGGTCTTCGCATTCCGGGGGCTGTAGTTTTTCGGTGCGGTTTAATCATTTTCGGTGGGCTGCAAATGACGTTTCCTGGCTCGTTAGGGGGGCTTCTCCCACAAAGTTGAAGGATTAGAGGATGGGCGCTGGGTTTTTTTTTAGAAATTCGAATGGGTTTGTTTTCGTGGGCATTTGAAGGCCGAGAAAATCGGAATTGGGTATGTAAAGGCGCCATTGCGGTGAATTCGTTTTCTATTAATATGCTAATTTAACTAACAAGCTATCTGAAGAGCTGAATAATTAGTAAAGCTTTCATGGAGCGGCAATATTAGAACGACAGAAGGAAACGCAGATCTAAAGATGCAGTATTTAAATGGGTAATCCAACTCTAATCCGCTATGCCAAATTCATAGCGGAACGTCTCAATACAAGGAGTAAACTACGGTCCCCTAAAGACTTAAAATCGCAAGATTTAAGGACCCGGGGGTATCTTCCAAAAAAAAAATAACATCCCCAAGAGACTGGGCAGTGTTGCCGGGGCGACTCGCGCTATTCCCTCCCATACTGGCGCCCCGAACCCTCAAACAATTCGGGCATTCGTGCGAAAATCAGCACCACTCCACGACATTCCCGTCGACAGCACCGAGGCATGGGGGAGACCCACCAACAAATCCCATTTCGACAAATTGATCCGATACATGGGTTCGCGCATGAGAATGTAGCCTCTGGAATGTGCATAGGCGAAATGTGGAAGCTTGTTTGGGAATCTTGCATTAATTAACACAGTGATGGTAGAATCGGATGGAATTTATGTTATTCGGCCATCATGCTAATTATTTTTGTCGAATCCACTTACTTATTCAAAAGCGAATAAATGATATACGTTTGATACCTTGCAGCCAATTAATCAAGTTTTTTTTTAATTAAAGTTTAACTCGTTGTCGGTTTTTGTAAAAATCTATGAATATGTAAAGTAGTAGATATGAAGCGCTATTAAAAGCAGATTCACCATGAGAATGTACACTCCAGAAGGTGAATAGACAAAAAGTAGGCGCGTGTTGGGAAAATCGAGCAAAAATTACCAGGAAATGGCAGAATGGTCTTAAATATACTTTAATGCGGGCATTCAATCACTTTTGCACTGGATCATGATTTGAATATGCTAATCTCCATTGAAGAAATCTGGTAGCCTCTAGTTTAATAGACCTCTGGCTGTATTAAACCGTGGCTTATCTATTTTCAAGAAAAATGTAAATCGTGGATTCAGCTAGAACCCGCAAAATGAGAAAACCTGACTCGTTAGTTCCACCCCTTTCCAATAACGCGGGTCGCTTTTTACTCGTCAACTCCAATTATGGCTCCAAACAAGATTTATCGGGCACCCGGCCTCGGTATCAATGCAAAACCAACTAAGAAATCCGGAATTAAAAGCGTCAAGCCAAAAAAGCATATATTAAACTCGTCAAATTTATTCCGAGTCCAAAACTTCGAGGATCTTTTGACGAAGTTGTTCGTATTGTGAAGAGCCAAGACCTCCTTGAAGGCCGTTGCATAGAAAGACAATGATCAGATCTCGCCCCTTGTCGATATCGATGAACTGGCCACCATTGCCGGTGAAGCCGATTGTGTACTGAACAGCGGAAGGAAATTCCATGTGAAGCGATAGTGGGGGGTCCCCTTGGGGGATACCTTTCCCCAAATGGGCCAGACAATAGAAAAAAACCCAATCAGGGCAGGCGGGTTTCTGGGAAAAAGCCCACTGCGATGCCTGGCGCGTGCTGGTAAAAGTTGAGGAAACGAAGTGGCAGATTTACGCGATTTTCGTGTTCTTTTCGCTACGTGGTTTCACGTTGTTATTTGGAAAGTCCAGTAGAACCAGAATACACCAGGTAATAGAAAAATAGCAGTTCTTCAAGGATATTGTAATTCCTCGAGTATTTTTTTGAAATTTTCATACCTTATCAGTCCCATCAATAGGTCGATAATAAAACCCATGATTCATATGGCGTTCCAAACCCAACACAATATCCATACCATGTAATTCCGGGCCCTCCAACCCCTTCCAAAAAGTCTCCGGGATGACCTGAAATTTAGCGGATCGTAAACAAAAACCCATTCAGCGGCACCTGGCCGATCCAGAATTGTCGAACAACATGTGCAAAACCAGCTGCTGTTCCGATGCCTAGGGCACTAATTGATGGCAGCTCGAGCACATCAATGTTGTTGTAAGGGAGCATGTCCTAAAGAAGTTCGCGGAACGAGTTTTTTAATGCTAGTTTGATTACCGCAACTAATTAGATTACCAGCCGTTCCGACATACCTACCGTTCTTATTACAGACATAAAACGAGGTGAATCCGCAGAAAGAAACGCCAGCCCTCCGTGCCGAACGTTTTGGCCTATTACTGACATTGTCCTAAATTTACATATAACCAAATCCAGCAAAACGGAGCATTATCGAAATTTAAACCTTAAAAACAAAAATCAAACTTACAGAGAGGGATGTGTAGCAAAATTCAGCAGTGTTTGTGATAATAAAGTTGGAGAAATTCGGGCTTTACGATGCAATAATTCTCTTGGCAACCCCAGATAAAAATCACCATCTAAAATTGATACCCTGAATCGATTGGATAACTCTACTTTCAGAGTTTGTTCTAACTTCCTCCTCATAAAATTGTGCGATATTCCTTTTCAGAGGATCTGCTCTTTGGAAAAGTTGATCCAGCAAAAATCCATAAGTCAGTGCATGATATCCGATATGCTGTCCGGGCTTCCAATGTGGACGGCTCTAAAATGCACTCGTATCCTTAAGGTCGGTAAAAACCTCTTCAATTAACCTCGAAATATACAAATCATCTTTTGCTTCTGCCAATGTGAAATCCTTTCCAAATGTGATCAGTCCAGCCTGGTGGTTCACCAATTGATCAACCGTCACATTTTCTTTCCCATGCTGCCCAAATTCAGGCCAATATTTTGTGACCTAGAATATGCAAATCCTACTATATATAAAATAATAGTGTCTGTGTGTGTATGACACTTTGCATGCAACTTCCGTCAGCGTGTCCGGAGGATATCTCAAGAGGGGGAGGGATGAAGGGGGCGTATGATACGTCATTAGACGCGTAATGGCCTGTAGATGACTGCACGCATACCAGATTTTGCAAAATCAGCTATTTTCAACGTTAAATTTAAATTTTTCCTTAAAAATCGGATACCCTCTTTGTTAGGAAGAAATTAGCATACGCCGGAAGTGGGAGTAGCCTATATAATCGGGGAGAGGACGCGATTTTCATTTTTGTGACATAAAAGTGCGGAAGGTTTAAGCAAATCGAGGGATATCATAGGGTTAGACGGGGCCAGGGTTGAAAAGTCGCGAAGCGGCTTTTCAACCCTGGTCGACTTTAAAAATGGTGAATGCCTTTTCATGGTAGTCTAGATGTCCCCTTGAAACCAGCGTGGCAATTGAGAGGGCTCCTATCAATTTTGTGCACGAATACGAGACGGTCATTATGTCTTCTGACCATTCTCTGCCAGCTTCGCTAAAATTATTAACTGTAATACGCAAAAAATTACTACAGACGTAAATTACGTTTTAAGTCATGCATTTTAATTCAGTCATAGTCAATCTTCATAAACTCACATATCTGCCCAACCACCTTGCATATCGAAAACCAATTTCCCGTGATGCAAAATCGCAACAGTCGAGCCTTGGTTTTCTTTTTGCAGAATCTCACTTAATGAATACTCTTCTAGCTTTTGAAAACTTACTGGTACGCATCAGCAATACCCTTATACTTAGGTTCATACTCCGCTCGAGTTACCCTTTTTTCGACAACCGGCTTTAGTTGGTAGATTCCAATTATTAGAGCAGTTAGGGCACCAACGCGCTGTAGGCTCAATAGTGAGCTGGATTTTCGGGTAACCATTGTGTTGGTATGGTTAAGAACTGACCGACTAGAAGCCTACTATTCCCTCCGCGAAATGTTGCCTCCACTTTCCCCCAATCCAGCTGATAACAGGTTGTCGCCATGATGTTTGAAGAGTGTGGGGGGGTCTTTGACATTTTTTGAATAGGAAGTTCTTTCGTTCTTTCTCTAGGATACGGAAGGAATTGGTCGAAAAAGCCGTTCTCCCGGTGTGGATCGGCTCTTATGGAAACTTGAATTGAGTCCGGCTCAAGAGCCCTCCCGTCCATAAATATTGGAAGCGAAGGAGAGGGGAGCGCTTCCCTTCCTGATCCCCCTGAGGGCACAGATAATACGGATATGTTGCTGCTAATCGCATTAATTTCTATTTGGACTGCCGAGGCATTTCGATCTGCTACCCCGATTAACATAGATCGATGCCGAGATCATGAATGGATACATCGAGACTATATTGTTTATACCTGTGCCGTGGATGGAGATGTCCGGACGATAAAACCATTTGGTAAATCTTTTTGATTTTCGATGTTTTTCTCCTTTAGCTTGCGATCCTACCCGAGGAGCAAGCACCCATTTATTCCTCGCCCCTTTGGCTGTGAATCGCACCAAATATCATGATAGTTTTATTTATGAATGTAAACAGAACGAGACCGATGGCAGCATTTTATTCCATGCTATATGTTTGTTTTTTATAAATTTCAAAGTGAAGTGTGTTTTTACAGCTTGCTACCCAGGCAATGGGGTTCATTTGATGAAGCCTGGAGAAGTGGCAGCGGCTAAGCGTGGTGGAACGTATTTTTGTTATAAGGATTTGGATGGCATTTTGAGGCTACGTTATGAACGTCGTAAGTTTAAACTCTAAACAATAAGTATATACTTTAAAAATTAACAAACAAAATGCATGCGGGTTTAGCTATCCACAACCATTGTGACAATGGAGATCCAACCGATATCGCATGCAAAATGGGAACTGCCGAGACGGTTTATAACTCCGAGTACAGCCACGGCCGCCCGTTCACCATCGATGTCTCTACCAATGTGCCAAAGGGTCCGACAGTTCTTGGAAGAGTGGGATTGGCTTCCAATTATCTATTTAAATCTATTACAAAGTGCATTGCCAATTTTCAGATAGCCAGAAACCGCGTAAACGGGACAAAGGCCGTGCCGAGAGGGTTTCTAGTGAAGGCGATAGCGAACAAGATTAGTTTGGATCAATTTTTGGAATCGGATCGAATTGGCTATGCAAAAAATTAAAGATGCTAATAAATATGTATATAGAGCATGGACAGGAAGTGCACTCCAAAACTTGATTTTTTCTCAACTTTAACCCTAAAACCAATGCAATTTTCAAGCCAAAAAGTCTTTGGGGTGGCCTAAGGCTAAACATGCATATAAAAACAAACCGGAAGTCTATTTTTATCCAACTTACCACTGAACCTAATCAGCATCGCGGATTGCGTAAGGACATAAGAACAAGTGGGTGATGACGCCCACAATAGCATGACATCAATCAACCAGAGCCGACCCCCCGACGACCCCCGGGCAGCCGTTTGTTGCCTGTTTATGCCAACGTTTTTAGTGGCACCTAGATCTCACAGGGAGGAGGGGCAGCAACGCTTGTCCTCAAGCTCATAAACCCAATCCCAGGTCGGGAACGAGGTTGGCTGTAATTTCGTTGACCGCGAAACTTTGGAGTTTTGAGGAATTTCGGGTTGGCTTTACGACGACACCAAACATTTAAAATTTAGTTATCTAGTCTTGACCCTGGTACGTACGAGGCATTTCTTATTATATAGAGTTTGAAGCGCATTTCTAGGAATTGTGTTTTTAAAATATAACCCGAAAGACTTTGAATGTTCACAATTTCAGCTTATCGAGGAACTTTCGTTGCCCTCCATCCGAACGGTGTGGTAGTACGATTTTGCGCATATTTCAAAGGGCATAATCTAATGCTAAAAATTGAGAAGACGCCAGTGTCATGATAGTTTCTAGGTGTACTCTGTGAGGTTTTAAGCAAATGGGCAATCCGTTCACATTAAAGGGAATGTGACAGGAAATTGTGTCAAAAGTTTGTGTTAACTTTGTCACGTACTGTAGGATATCGTCTATCATTAAAAACAGTCATTTTATCGTCAGATTCTATTCTAGCCCTACAATTCCTTATAATGCCACCTGCTCTTTACTAAGGAATCTCTAGATTTTATCGATAAACATAATCGATACTTTAAGAACTTTTAAAATACACCCGAGAACTACCAATTTCTTTTTCTCCCATTTAACGTCCAGCGAAATCAGCTGTAGCTAAAAGGGGGGTTCTCCCCCGCTTCTTCGACCGGCGTGGGCGCCGTGAACAGGCGCTCATGCTCGCCTACCCTTCTTTCTCCCCCTCCCTGTCACGCCAAACCTTTTTCCATTTTGTTCTCCTCCTTTACCACAGCCGGGCCCTCCCCAAGAGGGCCATTTTATCTAGCAAAAGGGGAGAAGTGGGGGTGTAATGCTTAGAGGATCGTGTTTTCTGTTGCATGGCCCGGCTTTTCCCCCACACCAAAGCATCATTAAGGGCCCGCAGGGTTGGCAGCTTGAGGCTAAAAATTCGCACTGGTCATTTTGATTCTCCCGTTCGTTTTGGTTTAGGTTAATATTCTTTTTTCTCATCAAGCCCGTTACAGTAACCCATATTGCCATCTTGTACAAATTATGATCATGATTTCCCAATCGTCATTCGGATCTGGGGGCCAGTATCGTCTTTTTATTGGTTTTCAACGAGTGCCCCTGTTTGTTTACTGATTATTTGAAGTATTTTTGTGCTTTGACCTACTCGAGGCCGTTGGACACAAAATTTATCAATTTACTAAATTTATTTGAAAATTAATATGTTCCTGCAGATTCTCTGAGAACTCGATCAAGATCTACCTAATTATTTCCCTTTTTCTTTTCTCTCTCTCTCTCTCTCTCTCTCTCTCTCTCTCTCTCTCTCCCTCTCTCCCCCCATCCATTTGCCTATTTTCTCACTCTAAAGCTCGAACTTTCTCACCTACCGACCACAAATCCCGTGTAAAAACACCCCGATGCCCTAATTTAAATTCTTAATCCATTAGTCCCCTGCATTTTTACCAGTCTATATTTATTTTATGATCTGGCTCCTCCATCGACCTTTATAGTCCAAACCTGTTGCAGGCGTGCCTCTGTGCCTCGACCATGTCCGAGCCGCAGCTCCGTGAGGAGCAAACCCTGAATGTGACGGCCGAGAAAACACCGTCGTCGGCGTCGGTCGCCATGGTCCCGAAGGAGACGTACATGATGAAGGCAAACCTTGTGGCAGCCCCATCCATTGCTCCAGTCCCTTTGATGAAATCGAAAGAACATGTGCAGTTCCATCCGCCGACGCCTACCGAAAAACAGGCACCCGTATCGTTTGAGGTCGGAGAAGCGAAGAGCAGTATCACTTCGTCATTGGAGAAGATTGTCGTCCATAAAGTTGGAGAATCACCACAAGAGGGGCAGAATGGGTCAGACTTTAATGCGCAGCCAAAGACAGAAAATACCAAGACGTCAGATGGAACGCAGCCACCTCAAAATGGCTTTGACAATCGCCCTCAAGCTGATGCAATTGAAGAAGTCAAGCCCGAGCCCATCATCATTCCGGTCTCGATGTCTCCATGTAGATCTCCAGATTCTGCCAACGAAAGAGTGAATGGAACGACCACATCATTCGAAGACAAGAAAGAGGTTACTATGGAAGCAACAGTGACTTTCTCAAAAAGCTTCGACGACAGCTCCACAAATGATGTTACGCAAATTTTGGCCCCCAACCAGCCATCATCCGGCGCTACAGGAACGAAACCGGAGGAGCTTGCCCAAAAAGCCCCGGAAACGGGCGACCAAACACCTAAGGTTGCCAGTCAAGAAGGACAGCCACCCGTGGACGAGGTAAACAACAAAAAAGACGAACAGGGCCTGCCGGAGGCTGGGAAAGATGGCAACACCTCAACTGGGGCAACCATGAATGGAACCGCTATTTCTTCTGAAGTGACTATTGAATCGAAGTCGCAATCGTTCGACTATGTCGCTTTGGTGAATGGATTGTCGACTGGAGAAAATGGAAAGTCCGAAGTGGTTGGTGGTCTGGTCGCCTCAACGATCCCAGAAGAGAAGAAGGATGAAGAAGCTCTTGAGAAGAAAATCAATCTTCCAGTGCTGGCTTGTGAGCTCCGAAAATGCCCAGAAGATGAAAAAACTGATGGCCAGACTGGCCTGCAGGCTAATCAAGACAAGCCATCCGACACGGATGCTTCGCCATTACCTGCTGCGATTTCCGACATTGTTTCGCACAAGCCGGATTTCAATGATTACAAGAGTACAGAAATGACTACTGTAGTGACCATGGATAGAAAAGAAGAGAAGTCGAAATACGACGATGACGACGAGCTTCCTGAAAGGCCGCGAAGCTCTGCGGATCTGATTGCAGCCGCCCAGGCCGCTGCTGCGGAGCTGTCTGCTTTATCGCAAGCAGCCGAGCACGAGCTTCTGCAATACAGAAGATCTGAGTCAAGAAAAGCATCCGTCGGAGCTGGGGACAGCCTTCGAAAGCGTGATGATTCTCTGTCGGACAACTCCGCGCAAAACTCTACAGCTTTGGATGTGACTCCCCAGAATTCATTGGCCGAACCGATTCCAGAATTGCCTACTGATGAGAAGCGGATCAGTGCAATTTCTGCTGAAGCCGATGCATTAAGAGCGGCTATCGAGGCTGCCAATATTCCAATCGTTGCCGATGACAAGCCAAAAGTAGAAGAACCGGTTGAGAAGAAGGTTGATGAGGTGGAAGCGAAGAAGCCCGTCGAAGAAATGGATAATTCCGTAGAAAAGAAAGACGGTGAGGTCAAAACTCAGCCCGATTCTACTTTGGAAGAGCCTAAAAAACAAGACCAGGCCGAACAGCAAGCTCAAGCTCCCCCCTACGCTTCCTTGGTTGGTGGCCTAATCACCACCGAATCTGGCAGCCTGCAGGTTGTCGGCGGATTGGTGCTGATCCCGGTTACCAAGCAAGCGCAACAAGAAGAACTTTTGGTGCAAAAACCGAAAGAACAGGAGGTAGAAACTAAAGAACCGGAGGAGGTTCAACAAGACGCCAATCCGATCGAGGGAGCACAAGGTAATGACCAAAAGCCGCTGGATCAGGTTCTGGCATCCAACGCAAACGCGTCGGATGACAAAAAGGCGGATGACTCAACGAGCGGTCATCCCAGCGGAGAAGCCCCAACCATCCCGGAGTCTTTCCTAGAGCTCAAGCACAAGGAACCCGAACACAACGAGCTTCCCTTTGAATGCACAGCGCCATCCGAACCTTCCCCAAGCTCTGGCGATGTTGATGAGAAGAAAGAAGAGACGGCGGTTGGTTCAGAACAACAGAAGACCGAGGAACCAAAAGTTGAATCCGGAAAGATGACTCCACCCGTGATCCCAGAGATTATCGTGGATCTCGCCCATAAGGAGCCCGAGCACACGGAATTGCCCTTCGAGGCGGTTGCCCCGTCTGAACCGTCACCGGCTGTAGGAGGTGACGAAAAGCAGGAAAACGCGGACGCCAAACCAGATGACGCCCAGAAAACAGAAGCAGCATGTGGCAATGAAGCGCAAAAAGCTGATTCTGGCAGTGAGGTCAACCAATCCGCACAAACAAGCCAGGATAACGAGAAGTCGAACGACCAGCCAAGCACCGACATCACTGTCAATGCTGACGTGACGATTCAACGAGTCGAACCGAAGCCCATAGAGGCAGATCATAAAAATGAAGTCGCTTTGGGATCAGCGGACTCTCCGAAGAATCCTGAATCGGCAGAGATCAGCGTGGAATCCTTTGACGCAAAACCAGTCGAAGCTAAAGAGCAGACTGCAAAACCCGAAGAAAAACCAAGTGATGATCCAAAGGAGCCATCGATTCATGTTTCTGAAACTCCAAAGCCCTCTGAGGACGAAAAGAAGCCATGCGAGGAAAAGCCGACCGAATCCGCCGACGCCGCCAAGGCCGAGCAGCGAGAACAAGAACAGAAGTCAGCCGTGGAGGTCCAGCCGGAATGTTCCGGTGCCGAGGCCTCTGCATCTGCGGAAAAAGCGCACTCTGATGATGAAGTCAAGCTGAGTGAGTCGATGTCAGCTGAGCCTTCGACTAAATCAAAGCTCGCAGAAGCTGGTGAGAAAGCGACCGAGGCGGTGGAAGCTAACAAAGATGAGCAAAAGCCATCCGAAAAACTGACGGCCCAGGAAACAAAGCCGGCAGAGAAAAATGTTGAGCCCAAGGCTGAAGAATCGACGGCTGCTACGGAAGATAAGCCTTCAGTTCCCGTCGAGTCCAAACCATCCGAAAATACTTCTTCTGATACCTCGACTGACAAGAAACCCGAAGAAAAACCGGCCGAGGAATCGAAGCCAGTGGAAGAACAAAAACCAGCGCAATCGATTCCGCAAGCTAAAGAAGAGCAGCCGACTGTCAACGAGGCGAACAATATTGCCTGGATTTCTGATGCCGATGACGCGAAGCCAAAAGTGGAGCTGCAAGGAGCCGCCGAAGAGGTGAATGGAAGTGAAACCCAAGCAAGTGGAACTGAGGAGTCGAAGCCTGCTGAGGAGCCAAAGCCTACTGAGGAACCGAAGCCTGCTGAGGAATCAAAGCCAACAGAGGAATCGAATTCGGCTGAGGAACCAAAACAAACAGAAGAATCGAAGTCGGCTGAGGGACCAAAGCCTACTGAGGAACCGAAGCCTGCTGAGGAATCAAAGCCAACAGAAGAATCGAAGTTGGCTGAGGAATCGAAGCCTCCTGAGGAACCGAAGACAACTGAGGATTCGAAGGCTTCTGTGGAATCGAAGCCTGTTGACGAAGTAAAGCGTAATGTGGAAACGAAATCAGTGGACGAGTCCACACCGGTTGAAGAATCAAAGCCCGCTGAAGAACAGAAGACACCTACCGATGCACCAAAACTCGCTGAGGATTCGAAGCCTGTTGACGGAGCGACGCCCGCTGCTCAGCCAAAACCTGTTGAAGACGTGAAGCCAGTTTGTGAGCAGGCTGGGCCACAAGAGAAGCCCCAAGCAGAAATTGCGGTTGAAAACAAAGCTGAGGAGACCAAGCCAATTGAAGAGGCTAAGCCAGGAGAGGCGCCGAAGCCGGAGACCACCAGCGTTCCGGAAACACCAAAGCCAGCCCCCGAACTCGTTGCTGCTCAAGAAAAGCCCGTTGAAAAGCAGGAAGTCAAGCCTGTCGAGGTGGGTTTTTGCGTACACAAGGTACATTTAACTTTAGTCAAAGCCAACCCCGTCTGCTTTTCCGGACGATGGCATTGAATGGATTTGTGACGATGGTAAGAAGAAGGATCCTGAGCCTCAGGTAAATACTGTTTCGCATGGTAATGTAAGTTCTTTCTAGGCGCCTGTACAAGAGAAGGTGCCTGAACCGGCAGAAGCTGCACCGGTTGAAAGTGCCAAACCGGCAGCTATGAAAGAGGTTGGTTTGGAATTTTTTAGCTTTGCAGTAAAGAACGTTTTGAGGAACCAAAAGAAGAGGCGAAGACAACCCAACCAGCATCACCAAGCGATTTGGAACAAGGCTGCGAGGTAATTTATTTCGAGTTTGGTCTTTTGTATCCAACATTTAGAAACTCCGAGAAGTCCCAACAATTTGCGAATCGGCACCTACTCCCTCGTCTCCTCCCAAAGATGATAATCACATCAAGTAGGGTGATGACACATTTTATAAAATTTACTTTAGCTTTGACATCGATCAATATGAAAAGAAGATGAACGAGAAGACGGAAGAGATGAAGGCTTTGGTCGATAAACTTTTCGACAAATCTCAACAGGCGAAGAAGAACAATGAGGCGCTCGCCAAGATGTAAGAAATTTATTTCAAAATTGATTTTGGTTTTAGGGCCCTCGAAGTTGCGGCTGATCCGCCAACCCAGCATCACAAGAAGCGAGTGGTAAGTGATCGGATTTTTACCATTTAAGTTAATTTGCAGTAACTTTACATTTTACAATGTATTTTAGAGCTTCGATGCTATGGCATTCGGACCAATTGGTGGAGGGTTACCTTCCAACGTCGAATCTGTAATTCTTGGCCGAAATGTGCTGGTCCATCCAACTGGAGTAGATATTTTGCCCGATGGAAATATTCTGGTGACTGACAAAGAAAGGGTAAGTTTACCTATGTTTGAAAAGCACCTGATTTATAATATCCTTAGTGCGCCAAAAGGTTGCGCAGACGAGCGGGTATCCAGGATATCATTAATGCGCCGTTTCAGGGTATCTTCCTCTTCTCAATCGAAGGCGAAATCGTGAAACATCTGCAAAACGAGAGCTGGAAGGAGCCATGTGCTCCATATGCCCATCGAAGCTACGTTTTGGTAGGAAATCATTTAATTTACTTAAAAATTATTCCGATTTAGCTCGTTCAATCCGTCCGAAATGGCGATGGTTTCTGGGAGCGAATGATTTGCAAATTTTCCTTGGATATGAATCTGATTTCGAGAATTGGTGGGCTACAAAACAAGAAAATACTTAGAACCGCTTAGAATGCCCCATGTGGATCAAGGAAAACATGCCGGTGGTGGTGTCTGAGAGGATTTGTGTGTCGCCAGCTGAGAATATTTATTTGACGGTTAATGCTGATGTAAGGAATGAATTTGTATATTGATTAAGTTTTTGAAATTCAGACATTCACGGGCCTCTACGAGCTTACCCCTGGCGGGCAATGGACCGAGCTGGACTACAAGCTGGACGAGCGGTTTACGGATATCTGCGCTTTTTGCATTGTCGGGCCGGTGACGCAGATTTTGGTTATTGAGGGTATGGCTTTTTCAACCATAAAAAGTGCAATTTAATTTAGGCCGTAAAAACTACGTTCATCTATATTCAATCATCAATGGACAAGTTGCGGAACGGCGGAAGCTGGGGGTCGTCGAGAGGCCGGGCGCAATTACACAGGATGAAGAAGGTCGGGAATTATTCAAGAATTTTATGATACATTTCTTTTCAAAGCTATTTTCCGTAATCTAACATTTTCAGGAAATTTGTTTGTTCTAAACAAAGCTGCTGCCTGTATCTTCACCGTTGATACCCTGTCTTGGTGCGCTCATAAAGCCGTGACTGTTGTCGATCAAGTTGTAAGCTAATTTACTGGGATGATAAATATAATAATTTAGATTACACATTTCGCATGCTCACGTGGCCTCATCGCGGTCCCACTTCGGGACTGTGTCCGTGTCCAACGATACGAATTCAGAAAATATTAAAACGGGTGTACAATTTCATGCTTTTTCACTGCCTCTACTTTTCCCGCATAATCAGCTGTTTATGTACAAATTGTACTGGTAGTTTAGATGATTCGATCAATAAATGCTTACATAAAAGTTTCAAACACCACATGACAGCGACACTTTTTAATATGATTATTTTTAGCTCCCTGTCCGCTCAGATGGCTTTCAAAAATTGAATGTGTTCTGCATATAATTATTGGTGGCTTTATATACCGCGTAGATCTACGTGAATGCATCAAAGCCAATGTTTGCCATATTTTTTGTCTTTTTGCTGCCTTTCCTGAATTGTCAACCAACACGTGGGCGGTTTGTCGAGCTGAGCTATTCGCTTTTGATTCGGCAAGAGGATGATTTTGTCGCTAGAAGCGGAGAAGTATCCAAAAATTCAATCGAAGCTAGCCGTTCTCTAGAAGCAAAAGAATTGGTGGTTTTTATCCATATTTTTAAGGTCTGAATTTTAGCTTGATTCACCTGAAGCCAAGGGAAATGGGGATTGTCGTATCGAACGGAAATTGAAGAGTCCAATGGTAATGTTTGGCAAAACTGAAAAATGAGCAGATTTTTAGCTTTGAATTTCTATTTCCTTTAAAAACCATAACCCAAAATTCTTAGATCATCGGCGGCACGCCCTGGCCCGCCTGGAAGAAAACAACTCACGATGTATAAAACTCCTTTAGAAGCCTTGCTAAAGACCCAGTCATTTATTATTTACTCTTTGCAATTATCACAGATATTTGCATACATCATAAAGCTTCGTGAAAAGAATAAAATCAAAACGGAAGAGATCAATGTAACTCAAACAGTTGAGCAACTAATACCGGTGAGCGGGGGAACAGATGATAGCTTGTAGTAGTAGAAGAACTAGCTGGGAAACGGCTTTAATGGGATTTAGATGTACCCAGGCAAAGTCCAGAAAAGTGAGGCGGAGAGAATACATTTTATAGTAAGGTAATAGAGTGATGATTGTGTCGACGAACCGATTTTCGGAATGAGACATACGGGGAACGAGAGTTTGTGCGGCTGGCGACCGGTTTATCCTCGAGGGTTGTTACGTAGCGATCGGGTTTGTAGTAGCAGACTCCGCAGCAACCAAAAGCCCATTGCATCAGCGCAACGAAGCGTTGGTGGAAGTGTCGGCAGCACATGATATAGACGATTGGATTCGCGGAAGAACTAAAAATATGAATATTTTTGAAAATGTTGCAATTTTCTCTGCAATTTTTCTCCAAATTTAACAATTTTTTTCCACTACGCTTTCCCGCTTTTTACAGCAGCTAAAATACCCTTTTAAATTAAATTACAAATTTTTCAGGTCTGCAACTTCCCATCTAATTCCGTTCAAATATGCTCTTAAATTCGCAGAAGAAGTGAAAAATTAGTTTTTGTTTAAATCCTTCCCTAATCCTTTTTTAAACTTTTCCTACAATTTCCTAGCCCAATTCAATCAAGTTTTTTTCCCCACTACGCTTCCCCCTTTTTATGACCCGCTAAAATCCTCTCTAGGGCCCATTTAGCGTCTGCACGCACCGGCCATCCAGATGACGAGCCCCCTTGCTTTTTTTGGGCGCGTTTCAAATACGATTACTCAAACCACGACACAGGCGTGGAGGGCAGCAAGTGCCCGAAAAAGTGGCCATGGCCAACCCGGGCCCCAGAACGAGACAGCGGTTTTGTTTTCCGCATTCCCGGAACCTTCGTTCGCAATAAATCGTGTTGATGACGGCGGCTAGGGTTTGAAGAGGAGGAGGACGAGGAGGGCAGCTAATTGTAGCCCATTTGTCCTCATTTGTCGAGAGGGATAAGGGAAGAGAGCAGATATTGCCCAACTTACCTAGCCATTGGGAGCACATTGACGAAGATGCGGATCCATGGGGGTAGGTAGATTTGTTTGTTAAAGAAAATGTCGCCGACTGTCATTCCTGGAAATTAATTAAGATTGTTTTCTAAAGGGTTTTTATTACCTTGGATCGGGGAGTAACATAAGAAGTAGATTAGCATACTAATCATCAGCATTTTTACGACAGAACGGCGGAGTCGGAGGATTGCAACCTAGTTATGTATTAAGTCGAAGACGGAATGAGGCTTACTTGCTGACTTTCATTTGCGATGTTTGCCGATTTTCCACCCCATAATACTCTGCCCATGATGGAATAGAGGACTGTCAACAGTACCAAGGGTACGCCATAGAGGATAGCAAATTCAGAATAACGGAAGAGGGTTCTATAACGATTCGATTAATTAGTTAAAAAAAAACAGTGAAATACCTTTCAATTTTGACTTCCCCCGTCCCTCTAGCTCCACCTTGCGAATTTTCTGTTTGAGTGAAAGCGCTAACTATCTAGTCTAGCACTACCCATTTGAATACTAAATAATTGCTTCCGGTTTCGATTCTTCTCCCTTTTCACCCTTAAAAGCCGCTCTAACCTAGCCCACCCGAAAAGGCGTTAATGCGAAAGCACTTACTTTGTAGCGCCATTCAGCTTCCCGGGCAGCCAGTAGCAGAAAGCAAAGTGTTTGTGGTGAACGATGCCCTACAAAAAACGTTAGGTTCCTTGTTTTTGCCGTCTCGAGACGACTAGCGCCACCCACGTGGAATAGGAAATAGGGCGATGCGAACGCGGCTGCGACGGCCCAGACGGCGATCAAGAAATAGGCGGTGGTGCGTCGCGTGAATCGGGTTATCCGCAACGGGGAACAGATTGCCATGTAACGTTCCACTCCTATCGACATCTGCAAGAAATCGGATGCATCGGAAGGTAGCGAAAAAACAAGCGCAGAAGCTATCCTGGGAAGTGAGAAATTCCGCAAGGGCGTGGAATAAGATTTAGACTTTAAATCAGATTTCTGGTTTAAATCTGGGATATTCTATATAAAATCCTTTCTAAATTAGATAAAATTTCTGAATAATCCTTTGACCCACCAAAATTTCAAAATAACTTTTTATAAAGCCCACCTGCAACAAAACCGACGCGTACAAATAGTACTCTTGCAAAAAGTGAACAATTGGACATAAAAATGGAGGTAGCAACCAGCCGCGATCCAAAAGCACCTAAAATTTTAAATTTATATCTTATTTATTAGAAAGCTATGCTTACCAATATAGCATCCGGAGCGCAAAATATCAAATTGCCCATATCCGCGAGGGCCAGGTTGAGCAGGAACAGATTTACTGACGAGTGGAGTAACTTCCGATCTGTCACCACGACCCCGACCACAAAAGCATTCCCAATCACACCCGCGACGATCACTATGCAAATTACGATCGCGAAGAGGAGGACCAGGTGTAGGGGCTAAAATTCAAAATGGAATTTGAATCCTGGCCCCAAAAAATCCCATTAGTTTAATATTACCTACCTGACATTGAAAACAACTTGAAATATGTTCAACAGCTCTTGTCGCTATTTTTGTAGAATTATTTTCCATATCAGCCGAGGTTGTCGCCACCTTGGTGGCTAAGGCAAGGGCCTCCGAAGTCAAAAGAACGGCTGGCGGGGATAATGTCGTAGTCTTCATACTATCATCGATGCTAAAGCATAAAATTATTTTTCAATCAAAAACAGTAGCCGGTAAGTATTCAAAAAAGGTAGCGAAGGCAAAAATGATCAACAATGATTAATCAGAAAGGTAAACTTTGCGGGGTCGGGGTGGGGGGAGTAGTCTAATCAAAAAGATACAACGGGGTGGAATCTGCGGGATTCCGCCGTTTTTTTGTTGTGATGCGGGGATTTTGGTGACGGTTGAGAGGAGATGCCTTTTTGGTGGCTTGGTGTTAGAGGGTGATTTAGGAAATGGGGATATGGGGTGGATTTCCAAGAAAGTCGAAAGCGGAAGCATTGGGTAGCGCATGTTGCACGCTAATCAAATTCAGAATGTCGTGGGTGGGTGGGGTTGAAGGGGGTTGCATTGAATATGGGGGGAGGAGCAGGAACGAAGTCAGGATGGTGTGTAAAATCTGGCGTTCCATTGGCATATAAACGTCATACAAAGTGTAAACCAGCTAGCACTTCCATACACTCGCTGTTCTGCCCACCCAGAGCTCAATATGCACAGCAAACGAGGTTCCGTTTTTGGAGGTGGCCAAGAAAAGGATGGCCCATGATAGGCATCCCCCACTCTCCACTACCCCACCCAAAAACACTGGGCGAACCTTCTTGCCCCCCCAGATTTCTTGTCGGTCAAAGGTTCCCAACAATGCCTTAGTAAAACCAAACTACTGAGTTATAACGTTACTCAGCAAATGCCCTATATAATATACCCAGGTAATTACACCCTAGGAGATACTAATTAAGACCTGGGAGCGACCAAACCTTTTCGAAGTTCAACGCCGAATCTCATTGGTTTTTAGATAATTCCAACCTAAAAACTACAACCGTCCACCAAAACCCAAATAACGTCAGAGTTCGGCACGAGGCTATGGCCTAGGTAAAAAGCCGAAAACGCAACTCTCTAATAAATGTCTCGGAATCCATCAACACCTGTCAATCTTTTTTGGTGGAAAGCCACCATCTGGAAATAATGCTTGGATGCAGAAATCATCGAACATTGACGCAAAGCATTTTCAAAAACACCCACCGCCCCTAAGCCGACGCACTTTACAAATCGGGGCTGTAATGTTCTAGTGGAATATAAAATACACGGAATACCCTATTTCTGGCTGCTATTTCTGGGTGAATTTGACCGCGGATTATCATAGACGGCCATCATTCATCTAACCCTTCCTTCCATCGGTTCCCTTTAATCTGCACCTCCCGGCTTTTTGCCTCCAGGATGATGGTCCGTTCCTCCAAACCGGGGAATATGGTCTTCCAAAAACAAAAATTGCATCCGAAATGGCAACAGAACCATGATGCGGGCTGCCGGAAATGGGACGAGCTTTTTAAAAGTGTTGCGTAGGCCCGTTTTTAGTCAAATCGTTAATGGAGTTGGTCGGTAGTGGATGAACCGAGTGGTGAAAGGGCAACCTCATTTTCGGGTGTAAGGGGGCAGCGTTTTGGAGGATAAGTCGGAAATAGCCCGAAATCCTAGAGAAAATAAAATTTGAAATGGCAGAATTTTGGGGAGCGATTGACGATCTTTGCCTACGAAAACGATGAAAAATGGAAGGAGCGCGTGGCGCTGCCGGGTGAAAACGTTCAAAAAGCGGCCAATCAACAGGGTGTATCTTGCAACATGGACTCGTTGGTTTTTCGCGGGGGGCCAACTGTTAGCGGGGCCAACGGCCACAAAAAAAGGTGGAAAACGCGAAGGGATGGCTGGCGGAAGGATGATGGGCACACACTCCCCGGACATATTCTTTGAGAAGTCGAAACAGCAACAGCCATCCATCCCTCAGCCCCTCAAACCCGCTAAACCGCGGATGTGTTGCCAAGAGGAAACATGGGAAGTGCGGGATGAGAGTTTGCCCGGTTTACCGTTCACTCTAGCACGTTCGTGCACCCACAACATAGAAAACAGAAAAAGCGGGGTAGCAGCTTTTTTGAAGGGCTGCAAACTGAAAAAATTGGGGTCCAGGAGCTGGGAATAGATCATATTTCAGTTCCGAGTCGTTTCTTGCAAGAGGGTTCCGAAGAGGGAGCCCCCCGAGTACCAACGTTATGCAGATCTATGAAAGAAGTGACCTTAGAACTACTTTTTAGGATGCGCCCTCTATTCTTGGAGAAACTGGCACTTGAAGCCTAGAATAAATCAGAATGTGCTAGCCCAGCCTTTCCAAGTGGCGAGCCCAGGGCCATGTTGCAATTTCCCTAATGACCCTGCCATGAAAAGCACGTATTCCAAGCCGACCCTTACCCTCCACTGCCGAAATACCCTAGGGCAATGCTCCCCACCCCCGAAAAATATTGCTCAATCATCAATATCTCACCCGCGGATCTCGAATTTGTGTTTGTGGGTGGTCGGCAGCGGTACTGAAAAAGCAATAAAGCTAGACAGGATCCTCGCGTATTTTCGGGAAGGAGAACGTCGTCTCCTTTTGCTAGAGGAAGGCCCTAATTGAAACGAGTAAACAGTCGGACGGCCCGGGTCCCGGATCTCTGCAGTGCGCCAACCGGGAAAAGCAAGGAAGCAGAAGTAGGAGAAGAAGCCTTGGAGGGGTGTGGGTGAAGCTCCTCGGACCCACGCACAAATACTTAACCTCAGTATCAGGAAGGAACTGCTTGGGGGATAAGGAGGGTCCTCTTGTGCTTCTGGGAAAAGATACAGGCCAACAAGACAGAATTCGAAAAGATTTGTATGCTGAAAAAGTGGATAAGAAGCTATACCAGGCTCCTTAGACACCCGAATTAAAACTAAACTTAAAATACAAGGGCTAAATGCCATCCAGAAAATATTAAGGCATATCGAAAAACACGGCCGCCTCATCGGCTACAAAAATTATTTTGCCAAGGAGGGTGCCAGGTAATGCACAATTCTTTGCCTGGGTGACTCCATAGGGAATGCATGAATTACGTTACTTCCGAATATCTTGATATATCTTTGGATTGCGTAGATAGGATGGGCAGATTTGTTTTCCAGGTATGGCCTATTTCCATGGTCGATCTCTAATCTTAAGCCTAAGCCTAAGCCTAAGCTCTAAGCCCTAAGCCCTAAGCCTAAGCCTAAGCGTAAGCCTAAGCGTACCCAACTCCGAAAGTTTAATCCGACCTTTTAAGTCAAATGAGGGTTATTTTTCCGGTTTGATGATCCGAATCCAGGCTCTGTAAAAAAAAACTCAAAAATTCTCAAAGTAAGCTTTTGATTATAGGAGCCCATACTGTTGAAGCCGTCATTTTGTGAATTGTGCCTGACGCTTCTGCAATTCTGGGATCCCTAAATAGCGAAGCCCATTAAAGGAGACGCGTGCCTAGAAACCGTCTGTCTACCCGGAGTCTGACGGAAGTAAGGTGCTAATTTGACCCTCGACGGTTCCTGAGGTCGATTGTACCAAAAGTGCAGCACACAGCGGCACAACAGCCTTCTGTCAATTTGGAGTCTCGGAAACAAAGGGGCCGCTAAGGGACCCCTTAAAATCGGACGATTGGCGGATCTTTATTTGGGGATGGGCCAGTCGGTCGGCCATTGCGATGTCTCCAAGCCACGGCCCATGACGACCCGGTGACTTCGGGGGGTGCTACCAATTGAACACATAGAATAGGGAGGGATGAAGGGACGATTGCCTCGGCTGACAGCATAACGAGGCAACCGACAAAGGAAAGGAATATTCAAAAAAATATGAATGTTTACGGGGAATCTGCAAAGCGGAAAAATGGCTTTGAAGCTCGGTTGCCTTTAGAAGCGCGTGGTGAAAGTTGAACCACTTGCCAAAAGTTGGGAGGTTATTCTTGTCAGTTAACTTAAATTACCATCACGTCAGATAAATGCAAAATTTAGAAATAACAGATGTCTTGTAAAATCGAAAAGCTTTAAAAAAATGCGGAAACAGGATCCCTCCGGAATCCGAGCAAATTTGTATAAGGCACGAAATTGAGACCAATTTAAAGTTATGGCTTAGTCTTTATTGAATTTGAAATCCTTCCAGAACAAAAAAAATGTTTAGGGGAATCTCGATGAGTGAAAAAATGCAAAAACTGCAGACTGCATACGGGGGAATTTCATCAAATTTGTCCATTAAATCACGAGTGCAGAGGAAAACGGCATTCCCTTAGAGAGTACAAAATTGAATTCTGCCGCCCTTTAGCCCTAGTGCAACTACAAAAGTTTCCGAATCAAATCTGTAATTCACAACTCAACAGACCTCATTTTCCAATGCCCGTTAATCTATGAAATGGATGAGTAATCGAGACCTACGAAAGAAAAACCTAGCTCGTGTCTTGTCGACGTGAGAGTCCCGGATAGAGCTCGGGAGGGTAATCAGGACAATTCATCGGTCTTGCCTGTGGCTACCCGATGCAAAAACCGAGCCACACACAAAAACGCCCATATCCCGAACAGCCCGGCCACGAATTACAATGGATTGCTGCCATGATATCCACCGGGTTGGGGCTGGGCTGGGCTGTGGCCTGGGCCCTCTTCGCTGCCCGGTGTGGCTTGTCGTGGTTTTTGTGGGTGACCCCCATCGAGTTGAGGGCCCGCCAACACATGGCCAAAATTATCCTCGTGCTCACTGTCAATCAACAGGATCCCAATCATCGATATCAATTTGCCAGAGGGCTTGGGGATCACGCTCAGGCCCGTAAGAGGGGGGGAGATGAGGGGAGAAAGAGATTTTTTGCCTGCGGCGCTGTTTTTGTCTATTTTTAACACTTGTTTTAGTGTTATAAACCCTATGTTTTCAAACATTTTGCCTGCGGCGCTGTAGTTTTAGTCATATTAGTGAAAAATTTTTGGGGTCGCCCCCCCGAAATTTGGGTTTGTTACGGCCCTGATCACGCTCAACTATTCTGCTCAAAAAAAATGAGTTTTATGGGATTTTATTTGTTAGGAATAACCAAGCTTTAATGTACATATACTACCTATTAGGTCTTTCCTCAAAAATCGGAAAATGTTTTTCTTAGATAAGCTTCGCCAAAATCTGG